AAGGGGAAAGGGGAAGGGGTCTTGGCAGGAAGACTGATTTAGAAATAATTGGAAGCCATTCCAGTTGTAGGGGGATGACATGGTCAGATCTATGCTTAAGGAAACAGCATGGGAAACAGAATAAAATGGAAAGAGATTTGAGATAGGGTGACCAATTAGGAGGCTGTTGCAATATTTAATCAAGGGGCGTTGAGAACTTGAACTAACTGAGGTGGTAGTCTTGTGAGTAGAGACAAGGGGTTAGATGGGAAATGTGATGGTAGAAACAGTAACATTTGACAACTGAATGAATATCCTGGTTGAGGGAGAATAAGGAATAAAGGATAATACCTAAGTTATAAAGCTGGGAGACTAGAAGAATGGTGGTATTTTAGGCAGAAATTGGGAAGTATGGAAGAGATTTAGTTATGAGGGAAAGATGGGTTCTGTTTCAGACATGTTGAATTTGAGACGTCTCTGGTACATCCAGTTCTAAATGCCCAATAGGCAACTGGTGGTGCAGGATGAAGATCAAGGGAAATACTGGGGAATCTTGGAGTCATCGGTATAAAGAAGGTAATTAAAGCCACAGAAGCCAATAAAGTCACCAAAAGACAGAATGGAGAGTGAGAAGGCCTAGGACAGAACATGATTTGGATGATGAACTGGCAAAGGAAACTGAGAAGGAATAGTTCTAGGAATAGAGGGAGAAAATCGTGTTAGAAAAGTCCAGAAATGAGAGAGTATCTAGGAGATGGTGGTCAGTATGGACAAATGGAGCAGAAAGGTCAAGAAAGATAAAGAATTAAAAAAGACTGTCATATTTGACAATTAGGAGATCTTTGAAAAAACTTTGAAAACTTTGAAAAAAGCGACTTCAGTCAAATGAGAAGCCAAATTGCACTGAGTTGAGGAGTGAGTGGGAAGAAAGAAAGTGGAAAAGTAAGTGTGAACAGCATTTTTGGTGCTTGACTGCGAGAGGAGAAACATAAGTTGATGAGTTGAGTGGATGGTAGGATCTAGTGAAGGATTTTTAAAGGATGGGGGAGATTGGGGCATGTTTGAAAGAAGTGGGAAGAGGTTGAAGATTGAAGAGATAGGGGAGGTGAGTGAGGTTGCAATCTTTTGGAGAAGTTGCAAGGAGAAGAGATCAAGGGTCTATCTTAAATACCTCTTCTAGTTTAGGCTTTCATTACTTCTCATCTCCTAATCAGTCTCTATGTCTCCAATCTTCTCTTCTCCAATCCATTCTCTCTACAGCAGTCAAACTGATATTATTCCTAAAACACAAATCATATCATGGCTCCACTCACTCATTTGAAAATTTTCAAAAGCTCACTATCACCTATAGGAAAAAAAATACTAACTCTTCTGTTTGGCACATAAAGCCTTGCATAATTTTTTCCTAATTATCTTCCACTTTTATTTCATATTACTTACACACTGTATATGCTAAACAAATTGTTCTGCTAGATGTTACCCATAAATAACACTCTACTTCCCATTGCCATGTCATTGTACGAGTAATTCCTCAGGTTTGGAATGCATTCTCTCCTTACCTCCAACTTGTTAGAATCTCTACTTTCCTTCAAAGCACAACTCAGGTGCCACCTTACTCAAAGCCTTGTCCTGTGCCACTTCTTCCAAGTTATTAACATTCTCTCCTTTCTGCTTTAGGCTTATATTTTATGACTTTGTATTTACTTATTTGTGTATATTTTTTTATCCCAACAGTAGTGAATAGGGACCACTTCATTTTATTTTTATATCCCCAGCACTTAGAACAGTGCCGTGCATACAGAGCAAAGTGACAAGTATTTGTTGAAGTGATTTGCTAAATTCACCAGTATGACTGATGAGCTATAATAGAACAAGATTTTAAAATCATTGGTCCAACTAGCTCACGTGAGTGAGTCAAGAATAAATATGACTTTGACAGCCATAAACCAGTGCAGTATTTCTTCACAAAACTTGGAATAATAATAGCTTATGCTTCTATTGCCCTTTGCCATTGCACAATGCTTTCACTCATGTTATCTCATTCTATCTTCAAAAGAACTTTAAGTGGTAGGTAGGACAAAGTATTACAGATGAAGGAAACAGGGCCAAAGAGTTTTAGTGACTTGCTCAAGGTCAGTCCATAAATAACAAAACTTGTAGGCAAAAATATGACTTGACATCAAATGTAATGCTCTCTCTACTCTGCCATCTGTGTCTTGGACAACAGTAATCAATTGCGGATGTCTACTATATCCTTATGGCTACATCAGCAAGATTGCACAGATATGTTAACTAACCTTTTGTTCCCAGAAGTCATGTTTATAATGAACTATAAGAGAACCATTTGACTATCTATAAACAAATAGGTTACCATTTAAACATAAAAAGAGTAGGGTTAGGGAGCATAGGATGATGAAATACTTACTTGGTCCAAGACCTATGGAAAAAGCAGCAACATAAAAAAGTAAGCTGACCAAGGAGAGCCATTTCAAATACTCTGGGACTTCGTCTGGGCCCATTTCCTGATGTTGTTGTACTGGGCTTGGTCTAGAGGTTCCAACAGTTGGCACAGATGCCCAGGTCAGCTCCCCTTGCCTTTCAGTGTCACTTCTGATTGACATTAGTGAGCTCTTGCTGTTTGGAGTGATCCCCGTGGATAGTTGTTTGAGACTATTGTTGCTAACTGGCAACTTTCCTTGTTCATAAAAAGTCAAGTCTTCTAGGGAGTGGTTAATAGGAGTATGACTTCTGCAGATACTGGTAGAATTGATATGGATCTTAAGATTCAAAAGACCCATAGTTACCAAGGAGGCTGCCATCACCGAGGTGCCAAGGCACAGAAAAGTCTTGCTCCCAACTTGGTCCACAAAAAGGGTAGCTGGAATAGTGCTGATTACTTTGACAACTCCAACTCCAGTCGAGGCAAGGCTGGCTGCTTCATTGCTCTGAAACCCAACAGATTTTAAGACAGTTGATGCATAAAATAAAATATTTGGTTGTCCTGTGATTTGCACAAAAAAAACCAATGTGAGGCCTATTAGTATTCTGGTCCTCATGTTGTCCTTTGATCGAAAAAGATCCCAGAAACTGTATTGGTGTTCATCTTTCAAGGAAGATTTTATTGCAGTAAGTTCTTCAGTAGTATCTGAGATGCCTCTTAATCTTTCTAGGACTTTGCTAGCAGCTTCATCATACCCTTTCATCACTAGGAATCGAGGGCTGGGTGGAAAAAAGTACATTGCAATGGCCTGCAAAACTCCCAGTGGAATAACAAGACCAAACATATACTTCCAACCATGGAAAACATTGGCAAATGCATAATTTGAAATATAGGCAAGGAGAATGCCAATTACAATCATAAGTTCATTCAATGATACAAGGAGGCCTCTTCTGTGCTGTGGAGCAATCTCTGCGATATAGACACAGGTAGCAGTGGAAGACAGGGATATGGAAACTCCTATGGTAATTCGTCCTACAATAAGAACTGGATAGGATAAACTCAGGATCAGAACCAAGCTGCCCAACCCAAGTAAGCAGGATGACAAAATGATAGCAATTCTTCTCCCATATCTGTCTATCAGGAATCCTCCTGTGAGAGATGCCAGTAAGGCCCCAATGAGTAGAGAACTCACAATCATTTCCTGCTGTCGGCAAGACAAAGATAATAAGCCACTTAATTGCAGAAGGGCCCCAGAGATGAGCCCAAGTTCATAACCCACCAGGAGTCCACTGACAGCAGCAGTGACAGATGTGAGGAAAGTAAACATTCCACATCCTACAAAGAGAAAAAACAGAGATGTCAGTCCCAAATTATTATTTTAACATTCTATGTATGAACTGGGCCATAACCTTGGGCAAATGATTTCATACCACTGAGCTAGGATGAAAAGACCAAATACCAAACTCAGCATCATTGTAGGAAAAACAGAGGTAGTTGGCTATAGAAACAAAGACTTCCTTCTACCACCTTTTTGGGGGGGGGGATGGGGGGTGTAGGGAAAGCTTTTCCCCTAAATTTGTTAAATCATAAGTAGATGACTATGAGGATTGATGTTCTCTATGAGCAAACAACTATGAAGACTCTATATAGGAACAGAATTTGGTTAGGGATTAGGGAGGGGTCAACTATTCTGCTAACCTAGCTCATCTTATCCTAATTCAGCTCCCAAGAGGAGAACCTTTGGGCAGGAATGGGATTGAAGACAGCTTCCTATGCATTGGGCCCCAAAGAAGGACCTTGGCTTCTCCTTTCCTAGTAGCCTGGGAAAGAAGAAATCCTGGGTTAAGATCACCTAGGAAGTCACTACCTAGTTATTAATATAGTTTTTAACCTTTTTGATGTAACAATGGTATGAAAAACAAATTAATCACTTACTCTGTGCTGACCATCGTGGTAGGAAAAGGGGAAAATACTAAGGTTAGCTAAGACTTGGTCCTTGTCTTCAAGAAGCTTCCATTTAATAGGATGGTATGGACACCAATATAAATAGTTATAATTACATGGTAAGTGAATCCCACAGGTTTTTATGTGGAGTATCTAAGAAGAGGTTGTTATTGACTAAGAAGATCAGGCAAGGACTTGCTAGAAGAAGTAGCTTTTGAGGTAGGTTTTAAAGGATAGCAGGGGTGTCATTACAGGCATAGAAGAAAGCAAAAGGCATGGAGATCCCAAAGACCATTTGTCCTAACCCCCTCATTTTACAGATGAGGAAACTGAAGCTCACTAGGTTAGGTGATTTGTGCACAATCACATAGAGAGTATGTATCAGAAGCAGGACTTTAATGCAGGTCCTCTGACTCTAGATGGCACAGTAGATAGAGTGCCAGGCCTGGAGTCAGGAAGATTTGAGTTCAAATATGGCCTCAGACACTAATTAGCTGTGTGACCCTGGGCAAGTCACTTAACTCTGTTCGCCTCAGTTCCTCATCTGTGAATTGAGAAGGAAATGGCAAACCACTCCAGTATCTTTGCTAAGAAAACTCCAAATGGGGTCACAAAGAGTCAGAAATGACTGAAACAAATTAATAACACCAACAATCACTGTCTAGAGACAATGACTTTTCACTGTACCACACTGCCTTATTGAGAATAGAATCTTTAATTAGGTACCAATAAACATGTGGAGCCCTAAGAAAATAAAATGGACAGGATCGTTGTTTTCCTTTTAAAAGAAGAAAGTTATACCTTGAAGGTGCTAGTAGTGATATAAGAAGGTTTTGCTGTCACCACTAGTCCTAGAGCTGGGAAATGGACAGATTCCAGATCATGCCTCTCCTGGCTATACCCTTTCCACAAGAAGACCCTCCTCAACCCCTTTCTAACCACATCAATCTTGTTCTGTTTGATTAGGAGACTGAGGAACACGTTATTGTTGTTTTTCTGAGGATTCCTCAGATTCTCTTATTATGTGTTATAGGTCAATGAGACAATGCCTCTGAAGAACTGAAAATGAGAATCACACAGATAGCAATGGAGAGGCACATGATAGGTGGAAGCAGGTGGAAGCAACATATAACAATTTTTATACTCCAAAAAAGTAGGAATAAAAGAAGTCAACAGGAAACTTAATTGTAGGAAGAGAAGATGGACTATTTATTTGGCAAGAATGCCAGAGTGTTCCACTGGTACCTTCGGTGTTAGGAAAAAATAAAGAAGTCTTCCTTTGGATTGAGTGTACCCCTTTAATAGCAAGCTCATGGGAGAACATAGACAAGAGTTACATAGAATGAACAGGCATGATGGGCTACAATTTGCATTGCTGGAGGTAGCTCTGGAAGTAATAAGATCAAATAACCATTTGAGTATTATTATGTGCTAGGCAGTGGGCCAAGCATTAGGGATTTAAGAATGAAAAATGATGTGTCCTGCTCTCAAGGAACTTATCATCCAAAGGGTGAACATGAAAAGTATAGAAATAAGTATGATACAAAGTAGAATGTGATAAGGACAACGGAGAGTTCCAGACAAACAGCTACAAAAAGTTTGAAGAGGGATCATTTCAGCTAGATGAATTAGGGAAAACTTCATGAAGAAGAAGGCACCAGATAACTTTAAAGGAAGAGGCAAACCAGACAGAGATAGGATCTAAGAGATATCCTGCATGAATGTATGGAGATAAGAAAGCAGAACAGAATCAGGAAAAAAAAGCTAGTTTGGCCAGATTATAGAGAATGTGAAGGGGAGTAATGTAAAATAAATCTGAAAAGGCAGCTAGACTGTTGCACATCTTCCATAACAAACTAATAAAAATAATAACTCACATTTATTTAATGTCTTAAAATTTGTCAAATGTTTTCCTCATAGCAACCTTGGGTGGCAGGTTTTATATAAGTATTTCCTTACCTATTTTACAGATGGAGAAACTAAGGTTCTAAGTGGTTAAGTGAATTTCCTATGATCATAAAAGTTAGTAAGTATCTAAGGTGGGATATGAACCCAAGTACCCTAACTTCAAGACTACAAAGATTATTTTCTTTATTCTTTGTGTAAAGAAGGACAACCAGAAGAAAGTAGACCATTTCATTCAACCCAGAGACGATTAGGGTAATGACCGTTTGAGTGGACAGACATGAGAAAGATTGTGTAAAGAGAATAGACAGAGCTTGAAAATTGCTTGCATATGCAGAGTGAGGCAGAAAGTAGTTGAGAGCTTCTAAGCCTGTGACCAGAAGGATGGTCTGCCCTTTCAATCAATCAACAAACCTTTATTAAGCTTTTACTATGTACCAGGAAACTACACTAAGTACTGCATACAAAGAAAGAATGGCTCCTACTCTCAAGAAGCAAGGTGGGGAGTGGAGAAGAAGAGAAGAGAACATGTAAAATACTAGGTACACAAGATAAATTCAGAGTAAACTTAAAGGGGAAGGCTCCAGAAGAGGGGTGGAGCCAGGAACAACTCTTGCACAAGGTGAAGTTTAAACTGAATCTGAAGGAAACCAGGAATTCCATAAGGGTGGGAGGGGGTGGTGTCAGCAACACCACTATTGAAGTCTGCATTCCAAAGAGATCAGAAAAAAAAAAGAAAGAAAAGGACCTATACACACAAAAAATATTTATAGCAGCTCTTTCTGTACTCTGCATTCTTTCTAATTCTGGCAAAGCATTAGAAATTGAGGGGATGCCCATCAATTGGGGAATGGCTGAACAAGTTGTGGTATTTGATTGGGAAGAAATAAGTTCAGTCATTTTCAGTCATGTCTGACTCTTTGTGACCTCATTTGGGATTTTCTTGGCAAAGATACTAGAATGGTTTGCCATTTCCTTCTCCAGCTCATTTTTTGAGGAAACTGAGGCAAATAGATTAAGTGACTTGCCTAGAGTCACACAGCTAATGTTTAAAGTCAGATTTGAACTTGGGAAGATAGAGTCCTGTGCTCTATCCATTTCACTACCTAGCTGCTGATGGAATACTATTATGCTGAGCCGGATGTTTTTAGAAAAAACTGTTAAGACTTACAACAACTAATGCAAAGTGAAGTAAGCAGAACCAGGAGAACATTGTGCATGGTAACAGCAATATTGTTTGATGTTTAACTGTGAATGACTTAGCTATTTTCTGCAATATAATGATCCAATTCCAAAGGACTTATGATGAAAAATGCTATCCATTTCCAGAGAAGGAATTGATAGAGTCGGAATGCAAATCAAAACATACTTTTTAAAAAAAAAACTTTATTTTTCTTGTTTTTTTTGCAACATGGCTAATATGGAAATATGTTTTGCATGACTGCACGTGTATAATCTGTATCAAATTGCTTGTCATCTCAAGGAGGGGGTGAGGGGGGATAAAAAGAACATTGAAAAATTTACATGTAAGTGGAAAAAATAAAATATTAAAAAAAATTAACTTCAAGAGTTGCCCTGCTTTTGTATTTGTATCCCTATTTGGCACATAGTAAGGACTTAATAATTGCTTTTCATTTCTGTCTAAAACAAATAGATTAATTAATTAATTAATAGGGGAGTAGAGTGGGAATGAGAAGCAAGTCCCAGGAGGAGGAGAGAGCCAATGCAAAGGCAGAAAAATATAGAATTTTGGACGATTAAAGGAAGTAGTTCCTTATTTGACAAAAACTCCTGGAAAAACTATAAAGCAATTTAGTAGAAATTATGTTTAGACCAATATCTTACACTATATGCTACAATAAGCTCCAAATGGATACATGTTGTAAAAATCAAAGGTCATAAGAGACTAGATCTGTGATTTCATTGTTTTGGAGAATTAAAAACAATGAGGAAATTCTACCTACTAATGCAGGTCAATGCCAACTCAGTCTTAGAGAACCTCCTAGAACACCAAGAGCCTTGTAGCATAAGCACATGGCAGCTTTTATCTAGGTGGGCCCATGATTAGACATTTAGTAGCTGTGTGACCCTGGGCAAGTCACTGAACCCTGTTTGCCTCGGTTTCCTCATCTGTAAAATGAGCTAGAGATAGAAATGGAAAACCACTTTGGCAGTATCTCTGCCAAAGAAAACCCCAAATGGTGTCACAAAGAATCAGACATGACTAATCAACAACAAAAAAAGGAAAAAATTAACAGAATGCTTTCTCCTAAACTCTATTTATTGGTTCTAATTCTTCCTTTTGGAGTTATAGATATTAAGTCTAATTCCTCTTCTAGATAACAATGATAACTAGCATTTGTAAAGTACTTTAATGTCTACTTTAATAAATATGACCTCATTTTATTCTCACAACTATCCTGGGAGGTAGGTGCTATTATAACCCCCATTTTAGAGATGGAGAAATTGAGGCAAACAAAGATTAA